GCCTTGGAGCCCTAAGTAGAGGCTCTGCATGGGGTCCCCTCAGGAGAGTTTGCCAATGCCTGCCCACCCCACCGCCATCGGGGGTCCCACTGACCCTCAGATCCAGCCCAGAAAGGAGGCTCCCCGCACCCCGAGTCTCTGTGTCCAAGGAACTGGTGGCACATTGGTCAAGCATCTGGCCACAGACGCAAGACCACTGCACCCCCACCCTGCTCAAGAGATCAAGTGGTAAAAGACTGCATTTCAAACGAACTTCATCGGCGGCCATAATTGATCTTAGATAAGGCTATTCGCAAGGTATAAGGAAGGGATAATTCAACCCAGGTGCAGCATAGCACCTACGAATCATACGTCATTCCTCTAGTTTCTGAATACTTCTGTTAGATTCCTCAGGTGGGAAATATCTAGGGCCTTGGCTTCCCACGAGCAAGAATTCACGCCAAAGCTTGTTTGTGATCCAAGTGAGTTTTTATAAAGGATAGATGTTGTTTCGGGTTTTACAGTTAAGAACAGGGAAGTACGAAGAGGTGGAAGAAGGGGGAACATGATGGTGGGGCAGGAGGAGGCAAAAGGAAACACAGGTAAGCTCTGGGAACCAAAGCTATAGATAGAGGTATTAACAGAGGTGTGTACTTATGTAAATACATTAATCCATAAAAATAGAGGTATTGGCCTATATGTATGTATGTATATTTAAAAGGCAACACACAGGCTGCAGATGGACCTTGGGGCTCAGCTCATACCACCCCCTCAATACAAGAACACTTTGTTCTAACAAAATGGCATTTTGTGATACTCACACGTGCCCCCTGCCCTGTCCCCCACTCCCCCACGATTGCTGAAGTAAAAATAGGTGCATAAGCACATGTGGTGAAGATTGAGGATAGTGCCTGGCTATTAAAAGATATAGCCTCTGTGGTCTTACAGGCTTGAAGTTAAACATGCGGTCATCCGACAGGGAAGCAACAAGCCCACGTGGAAGAAGCACACCAGCTGATGTGATCCTGAGGTGTCATCAGGACCAGGCAACGGGCACCAGAAGTTTCATAACAAACAAAAACTCGTTGGTGAGAATGAGGGGGTTGGAGTGGAGACCCAAAGCTCATCTGTGGACAATAGAACACCTCCCCGCAGAGGGTCACAGGGAGGGGATGAATCAATCAGGGGCAGTAGAGCACCATGGATCACGCAATATCCCTCTGATCCCTTGAGGCCTCCTCACCCCCACTATCATGACCCCAGTGCTGTGTCCCACTCTGGTCTAGACGGGAGCATGTGCATGGTACAGGCGAGAGATAAACTCACGACGCATGGACCCAGGCACAGGAATGGGACTAGAGATCCCAAAAGGGTAGGGGGAAGCGGGGGAGAGATCAGGCACCAGGCTGGGGGCATTAGGAAGACCCTGACCTGCCCTTATTCGACCCAGACAGCTAGCTTCAAAAGGGCTCCCAGACAATGAGCCACCTCCGGCGAACGAAGCCCCTGCAGCTGCAGCTACTGCCCCGTCCCTTCTTACCTTCCTGACCAGCTTAAAAACTGCTCTCCACCACAGAAAGAAGCAACTTCTCAGGCCCCCAGCTGTAGGCCCAGGAACTCGGGGCTCCTGTCTCTCTCTGCTCTCCCCTCCCTCCCAGGCAGGGGGCAGCAGGCAGCAACTTCACCGGCTCCTTGCTGGAATCCGTGAATCTCGCCCTGGAGCGTAGAATAAACTTACTTCTCTCTGGCCTCAGTTTATCTTTTTTTTTAACATTTTATTAGAGGCTCATACAACTGTTATCCCAATCCATACACACATCAATTGTGTAAAGCGCATTTGTACATTGTTTCTCAAAACATTTTCTCTCCACTTAAACCCCCG